AAAAAAAAAAAAAGAAGAAGCATGAACTGATAACGAGAAATGTAGCAGCACGTAGCGCAAGGGAGCCTTCTCCCATATAGTGCACATATATGCACATAGTGGTTTTCTTGTGCCCGACTTTTTATGAGACCCTTTTTTTTTTTTGTTTTTTTTTGTCCCCTCTCCAGTTGGTTACCTTTGCATTTATGTAGGTTTGCAGTAACACCATCGCAGCTTCCACACAGCAACGTGCCCATGTAAAAAACATATCAGGCGATATTTCGCGGGAGAATCCTTTCCCCATTTTGTGCGCTAATGTATGTGGCCCCTTCCTCTTCCTCTAATCGGCACAGTCCATTTCGCATGAACGGACAGATAAACTCATGCGGTGAAAAGATAAAATATTACGTTCTTTTAAAGCACGCCATGTAACCCTCACGGGGGGGAGGTATGGGAGTGTTTACTTTACCAACCAACAGACTTTATTCAACCCTACCCCCACACACACAGTGCACATCATGTGAAAGGGTTTCATCCCTTTTAAGAGAGTAGACCATCTGGACAAACCAGTGGTTGGCCCCCTTTTCTGTTCCTTGGTCCATTCTTCCAACCGTTTAAACGGGTTTCCCATGTGAGATACCTCCTCAGAGTGTTTGTTCCGCGGAGGGTAGGGAAACTTAAGCGGGTTGAAAAGGACAGGGGGGCGAAATGGGAAAATGGCAATTTGGACAATCCTGTTGTGGGTGCAAAACACATTTGAATTGAAGTGCTCCAAAAAGGGAAAGACACCGTTGTGTGATCTGCCAAATGGAGGGATACATCTTTTATCTTTTTTTTTTTTTTTTTTTTTTTTTTTTTTTTTTTGCCGCTATTTTACTAATTGACTGGTGTTTTTTTTTTTTTTTTTTTTTTTTTTTTTTGCTTCCCCGCGCAGGGGACAAAGCATTGCTTAAAGAAATGACTGTTGCACATGTGTTAATCGAGATGACAAAAAAAAAAAAATAAATAAAATAAATAAAGTAAAAAGAAGAGAATCGCGCAGTGTCTTAGGGTGGGACAAAAAAATAAACGCACAAAGAAAAGAACAAATTAACTTTTACGTCACTTCCAGTGAGCAGCCCAGATAGTGGGGGACAAGCTTAAGTTTGCCACATGCGGATGGGCGGAAAATAGGGGAAGAAGAAAAGCGATGACCGTATTTGGACATGCGCGAAGGTGTTAACCGCATGGTCCGGTGACAATTTTGTTTTATAAAAAATGGAGCGCAGAACAGTGGGGTGTTGGCATGACGACATGCCGATGACAAGACCCCTGTAGGAAGAAGCGACTCGACCACGCTTTCAACCATGAACCACATGGCTTGCTGCTGACTGCACCCACTTGTCCTCTCGCTCATCCATTTATGGTACCCGCGAGACGTCTGCCACTCGATTTACATGTCTCCCTCAAGCGTCCTCCTCTTCCTCCTCCAGAGTCTCTTCCCCCTCACTTTCATCATCATCCTCATCGTCCGGCGAATGGTCCATGTTGCTCATCTGGCGAAAAATGGCATCGTTGGTCAAATAATTTTTGCTAACCAGGAGGATCTCTGGAGTTATTTTTTCTTCAATTGATTCATCGTCGGCATTTTCCTCATCGCAATCCTCCTCCCCCCCCAGACCGTTCTGCTCATTCTTTTTAAAGAAATTCTTCTCATTTGACATTTTTGTAAATAACCGTTTTCCTAATTTTTCTCGAGGTCGCTGGGGGACTTCATCTCCCTCTACATGATCCACCCCGCAGCTAACTTGATCTGTGTCTTCACGAGCGTCATCTGCGCCGCTGTCCACATGTTCTCTGTCCTCTTCAGCCACAGCTGCATCCTCGTCACCCACGCTGTCCACATCGTGTTCTCCCCCCTCCACAATATCAGAGTTGAGTTGTATATATACACATGAGCTGTCGCAAATTTTTTTATCCGATGTGATTGCATGCAAGGAGATGTTTGACGAGTCGACGGTGACGTTGTTTACTTCGTTCACCAAGTGCATGTAGAAGTCCCGATTCTTCTCGTAGTGCTTCAAGTAACTAGCGCTACTAGCCAATTCTGTAAAATTTGTAATTTTTTTTTTTTTTTTTTCTTCTTCGTCTTCTTCATTTTGGGTGGAGACCCAAATGATCTTTTTTTCCATTATGTATAATTTGCCTTGCCCAAGGCTTAGTTTGTTATAAACAAATTCTATGTCCGTGGCTTTGTGCAGCACTGGCTCTGGGCTGCCCTGTTCCAGGGCCCGCCGGCCCTCTTCGCTGAGGCAGTTAAGTGCGACAGGCATGTTAGTGGGAAACTGGGTGCCCTCTCCGGAAGTGTAGTGTGGCGCGTTTCCCCGCCCCCCCCCGGGGCATGTATATACAAATTCGTAAAAAAAAATAAAATACCTACGACGGATGATTTGAGGTTATTTTTAGGATAGGAAGCAACAGGTCAGTGAGGTTGTGAATATTTACGCGGGTTGTTTCCCCTGATGCGTTTTGTTTTTATCTTGCTTGGCTAAGTTGTGAGAATGCAAAATGGTGGGGGTACTCCAGAAAAAAAAAAAAAATAATAATAATAATAAATAAATAAATAACAACAACAGCAGAAACAACAAACAGGGAGAGCAACTCTCGTGTTCCGAAAAAAAAAAAAAACAAAAAAAAAAAATTTTCCTACTTCAAGATGCAGACGAGGGGAAATGCACCCAAGGACGGGTCACTAAAAAAGAGCTTTTCTAGAAAATGCTTTTTTCCAAAGTGCTGCACTTTTTTGTGGCATATATACATCCTAATAGGAAGCAAAACGATAGTTCCTTTTTTTTTTTTTTTCCCTTTTTTGTGTTCCTTTTTCGCTCCGCTCAAATGTAAGCAACGCTCATGGTTGTTCAGAAGTTCCTAACCGTAGACGTATCTGTCTCTTTCATTTAGCACCTTGCATCGTACGAGAGAAACGCGTTTGCAAATGGCTACTTGAGTGCCCTTGCCGCATGGGGAAATTAAACAAAAGGACAGGATGGAAAGAGAGGAAGGGTATACCTCTTCCTGTGTCGAATGCAACATCTTAGTTTCATTTTTCTTAACCTTGTCGATTATCTGAACTGCTTTTACCAAAGTCTATGTGAACGTCTCGTCCCCCTTTTATGCTGCCCTCCAAAAAATGACCCAGGACAGATTGGTCTGCATAGTACATGAACATAACTGCTGTTCAAATGATGACCTAGGTAGAGAGCCCACATGTAATGCCGAGGGGGGAAGAAGTACATTCTTATGGGTTTTTCACACTGCATGTTTTAAGTGAGTCGGACAGCCAAGTGACACCCAGGAGGAACAACTCGCAGCAACGTCAGGCCACACACAACACTCCGCCGAACGGCGTCCATTTCAACATAATGTGCACACCCCTATACACTCATCTTTGTTAGTGGATAATCCTCTGTCGCCTTTTGCACCGGCCAGTTTACGTACTTCCCTGTGGACACATTTCCTATTTTGCGTCACTGCGATATAGTTCAACGGGGGGGAAATGGGCGAAAAAAAATGAGGGAACAATGTGAGCAAAAAAAAAAAAAAAAAAAAAAATGAAAAACGGGGGAGGAAAATATATTGTCCCCCCTTGCACCACCTTCAAATGGCAGAAACGTTATTAAAATTAAGGAGGTGTTGAGTTCATCCCGTTTGCGAAACAGTTTATTTTATTGTATTTCATTTTTTTTTTTTTTTTCATTTCAGTTCATTTATTTTTTTATTCCATTTCGTTTTATTTCATTTTCTTTTTTTTCATTTCATTTTTTTTTTTTTTTTTTTGGTGGGTATCTTCATATCGTTTTCAAAAGCTTCGCCAAGCGCGCGTAGGAAAAGTAGGGCGAGAAATTGTCGGCCGGCCAGAAGAGATACAATTTGACGCCGAAAAGGGAAGGGAAGAATTTCATGCGGCGAGAGGTGAACCTTCGCATGGAGAATAATGCCCAGCGGTGCAGTGTGTATTGTAAAAGTCAGATCTGCACAAGTGGTGAGCGGTGAAACCGCCATCACACGTTAGGCAGGCAGACCGCACGGGGAAGCGGCACGCCGGTAGGTTGACTCGACTGGTGATTACACCAGAGGAGGCCCACAGGCGCGAACGTTGCAACGCCGCTACTGCTCTACTGCTGCTACCGCTGAAGGAGGACAAAATGGTGCGAACGAAAAAGAGCGTGCCCATGCACAACCCCTTGAGCAACCCAGACGGGGTGGGCAGCAGCAACGAACCGACGAACAAGACAGTGCCTAGCAGACCATCACACAAGCAAGTCGCCTCGTCCAAATCAAATAACAACGCAGGAACAGGCAAAGGGACTCGAAGTCAAATTCCGCAAAAGGGTTTGAAGAAGACAACCCGAATTAGGAGGCCCCATAGGTACAGACCAGGTGTATTAGCATTAAAGGAAATAAGAGCATACCAAGCGACTACACAGTTACTCATTCCTAAAATACCTTTTGTTCGAGTCGTAAAGGAGATTACTCGGTTGTTTGAATTGCCCAATGAACAACTGCGTTACACCCCCGAGGCCCTGTTGGCACTGCAAACCGCATCGGAGGCCTACCTGGTCAGTCTCTTCGAAGATGCCTACTTGTGTTCACTTCACGCAAACCGCGTCACCCTCATGCCTAAGGACATACACTTGGCTCGCCGTATCCGCGGCCGCGACTGATAGATTGACAGGCACACAAAAGGACGCCAACAGGAAAAAAAAAAAAAAAAAAAAAAAAAAGGAAGAAAAGCCTTATATATATAACAGAATTGGAAATGTCATGCCCCTTTTTATCATTTATGTAGCAATTTAATTGGACTACCCCCTTTTTATTCTTTTTTTTTTTTTTTTTTTTTTTTTTGCAGATGTGTAACGGAAATTGTAACATTGCACTACAGCTCTATTTTCACTTTTGCTCCTTTTTCCTGAACAGCTCGTTACGCGTTCGTTTGATAATTCCTTCTTTTGCTTGGACCCTTTTTATTCTTTTTTTTTTTTTTTTTTTTTTTTTGCCGCTTCTCGCCCTACGTTTCGTTCTACGTTGTTCCGTTTGTGTTTCTCCCGTTGTGGTTGTAAACAGGAGGGGAGTGAGTGGGGGTTACATAAATAATGTAAGCTCCACTTCCTAGCGCAGTGGACAATTATTAAACAAAAAAGAGAAACCTGCGCAGATGAGAATGACGGGAGAGAACAAGCACTTGTTTGGTCCATTTATGTTTTGTTTTATGTATATTTTTTTTTTTATTTTCTCCTCACTGGGTATTTTTTGTATGCAAAAGAGCAGCAATACGTCATTGTGGCCAAAGCTTGGTAGCTGTTCAGCCGCGTAGCCATCCATGCATC